GCCACAAGAACCTCTATTTTAAGTGGCCTCTAGGTGGCGACATGGGCTAAGCTTGGGGCAAGCACTGGGGCTCCACCGGCCCGCAAATTTCCTGGGAGGGGCCCCTCACCCTGAGTCTCACCCCTTCAGGGGGCAGGAAAGGAGGCCAAAGAGAACATGATTTTTCCAAGTGACAGGGCTGACTCTTGCAAAGCCACTAGGTTCTTCCAGATATCTCATTTTGCTAACTGGACTAGGGGTCCAAGGGGGGCTGCAGAACACTTTGGGAAAGGTGACCTGGTCTAAGCTTTTAAATAAAGAACTCTGGATTGTGCCTTGAGATTGAGAACAATGAAGGAGGCAAGCCAGGGGAGGCTGAGTCAAAACCAGATAAGAAAAGGAAACTAAAGTAGGTCTGTCCAGTGTACCCACAGCAGGCCAGGACCTTTGGCAGAGAGAAAAGCGAGCAAAACGGTGACTTTGATTTGGGTACACGTGATAGGCAGCAGGTCCGAATCCTCCCAGATTTTCATCAGATCGGTGATAGCATCCACAGCAAGTTTCCTGAGTCACAACAGCATGCTGTTCTGGGACAGACCCACCATGCGGCCTAGCATTCTCTCCCTGCCCCCAGCCCGGGCCCTTGTCTGCCTGGTGTCAGCCTCAGAAGGTTCTGATGCTCAAAGGCTCCCGATAATCCAGCAAGGCTTTGTCCTTGCAAACTTCCTCAGAGATTCCAACCATTACATCTCTTAAGTACTCAAATTAACTCTCCCCCCTCCCTTTTTTAAATTCCGGGCCCATAAAGCACTCTCCCCTATATTCTCTCATTTTGCCCTCACAAGAGCTGACAGGATAATTTCGGTGACATGGTGTCCCAGAGAAGATCCTGTTCTCCTTTTCTGAGGTCCCAGTGGGTTGGTGGCAGAACGAGAAATAAGCTCAAGGCTCTTCATTCCTGGTCCAGAAGTTCACTACACCACACCGGTATCTTCTGTTGTCTCGGGCTTATAACAATCAGTAAGTGGCATATTCTTAGATTTATAGGTTTAAAGTTAAGCATATTACCATAAAAGAAGTGTATGTTTTTAGTCTATTGTAATTGTTGAGAACTGACACATCTTTAATGCAGAACAAACTTTGAAACCTCAGGCCGTGGGGATGAGCAGGGAGGAGAGAATTAAGCCCAGCCTGAGTGGAATTAGCCTCTCCCTTCTGTCATCCTGTTTCCCTAACACACACATTCCTCCCCCGGATTCAAACTATCCCACAGGCTGCGAGGCCCCGATCATGCAGAGCTGTGCCCTTTTCCCCCCAGAGCCAGACTGACAGACGATTCTGTTCCCCATGGCTACAGGGGAGAAATGAGGTCAAATGGGACGTTCGTAAAACCCAAGACACCCCTGTCTTTCTGAAAGGAAGCGGCCCTGTGCTTTCCCCCAAAGCTCTGGACAGGAACGACGTGCCCACCAATTTGAAGGGCTGCGCTAAGAGGGGGTGTCGCCAGCCGTGCAATTGGAACCGATTTGCTCTGGGAACTGTGACCGTCTTTACCATGAAATCATTTGAATGCTATTACATCAGCCTCATGACTAAGGGCAAAAGAATCCAAACTGTCCACCGAGAAGCTTTACTAATCTGCCCTCTCCCCTCAAGAAGCACATAGGTGAAGAAAACGGCTTCCAGGACGCCTGGGTGGCTCAGTCGTGAAGCGTCTGCCTTAGGCTCAAGTCATGATCCCAGGGTCCTGGAATCGAGCCCCACATCGGGCTCCCCGCTCAGCGGGAGGCCTGCTTCTCCCTCTCCCACTCCCCCTGCTTGTGTTCCCTCTCTGGCTGTGTCTCTCTGTCAGATAAATAAATAAAATCTTAAAAAAAAAAAAGAAAGAAAGAAAACGGCTTCCTTTCCCACAGAGTCTGCATCACCGGGCATCCGCCGTAGCTGTGTGGGGTTGGGTGGCTAGTCACAGCGTAGGGGACCCCTAACCTTCAGCTCCTCTCCTAAAACCCCTTCAAGGGCCCAAGGGACCTCAGAGCTAACACTCCTTTCCCCGTGAAGTCCAGCACAGATGAGCTGAAATGGAATATGCTAGGGACAGAGGGGAGGGGGCTTTGGGCACCTTTCTTGTATTTAAGACGTTTTCCGAGCTCACAAAGGAGCAGAAGCCACCCCTTGGGGGCCTGCGTGTCTTCAATCTGGGGCTCCGGGGGCTCCCCACGCACTCCCTGCCACACCCGTGCCCCAGCCCAGCTCCCCGGCTCTCGGGCTCCAGAGCAAAGCCTGAGCCAGCTGCCAATCTCCCAAATAAGATCAATGTGTGACCTTACTCACCAGCTGTACTGAAGAAACTAGCATAAACTAGGCCCAACTTTGAAGCCAAGAAGGGAAGATGAGAAGTTGGGAGAGAGAGAGAAAGAGGGGGGATAACTTGGCTGGACTTGAAAGGTGTCTTGTCTGTCTGTTCCCCATTAGGCGCAACTCTCTTGCAATCTGCAGCCTCGACATAATTCTCTTGACCAGAAACTCTCCAGAGAGATAGTGTCAGAAGGAAAAACAAACAGAATAGCATCTGACAGCAAAGTCACTTAAAACCCTATTTGGGGGAGGGAGGGGAGAAAAGAGATGTCAGCACGGCGGGGGGTGGGGGGCCGGGGGGGGGAAGGCACTCCACAGTGGGCCACGTGTGGAGACGCACTTACCCTGGGATGGGACAAGGACAGGACAGGGAGCCCAGGCAAGGGCAGCCCAGGAAGCGAAGCTCCCAAGTCCTCTGCCCCACGAGCCCCCCTCGCAGCTGAGGTACACTCTGTCTGGCTTTCTCACTGTGCACTCAACACCAAAACCCACAGTGCTGGGCTCTCTACTGAATCCCCCAAGAGGGATTCAGAAGGACTGTCTTAGGGAAAAAAAAAGGGTCCCCTGTCCTCACTTTCCCATTGCTGACCAGCCCCCAGCAGCAGCAGAAGGCCGAGGACCTAGCTCTCCCCGTAAGCTGGCAGCCAGGTCCCCAGGCAGCAAAGACCCTTCTCCCCAAGACCCTTTGAACTGCCTTTGAGCCAAGTCTCCTAGGGTTGGGGAAGGCAGCCCCTCATCCCCCGGGTCTGCAGGAGCCCAGAGGGTAAGGACCAGGGGGCGGGGGATACCGGGGATACAGGCCAGGAGAGGGCACAGTTCTGGGCTCAAGTTTCTGGGGCCGGCGTCCTGTTAGAGGAGAAAACTTTTTTTTAAGGGAAGAAAAACTAATCAGAAGAAAGAAGCAAGAGCTTTCCCCCGCCTTTCGGACTTGTTTATGACTAGGATATCTGATTGCAGCAGAGGAAGCAGGCACCAAGAGCTAGGTTTTTATTGGCCATGAGCAAGAGGAATTCAGGGTTTGCCTCTGATTTGGCTTTCCCAGAACATGCAGCCCCGAAAAGAGAGTGCTCGCTGCTTTCAGGGAGTAGCTCGGTGCTCCGGGGCCCCCAGAACTCCCACTTTCTGCAGCTTTGACTAGAATTCCCTTTGGAGGATGAGGGCGGAGCAAGGGGCCCCCGCGTGGAAGGTGGCCTCAGAAACGCTTTGGAGAGCAAAATAGGGGACAAAAGTTAAGAAGTTCGGAGACTGGCCCCAGGGGGGCGCCAGTGAGGCTGTGCTCACCGCCCCCCGCCCTTTCCGCGTGGGGACCCCGAGGAGGGCAGGCCTGGTTTGGATGAAAGAGCACTGTCTCTAGCTGACAGAGCCAGGCGGGCTGCAGTCGCAGGGCCCGGCCTGATGGTTGCAATGTGTGGGCAAGATAAAGCCAGGATGTGCAGAGGCGGCCCCTGCCAACAGCTTTCCTCAGCTGGGGAGGGGATTACCAGCTGGGCCTCAGGCTCAAGGAGCTGCTGCTGATCCCCCAGGGCTCCCCACGGACACCTCCCCGCACAGTCAGCCCGGCCTCCCTGCCCCCCGCTGGCTTCCAGAGAGGGACATGGAGAAAGGGCGAGGGTGGCCCTCCAACTGGGGGCCTCTGGGGGGGGGAGCCCAGCCATCTCCCTCTCTTCCTTTTCCCCCCTCTCTCTATCCTCTTTCTCTCCACCTTTCCCTCTGAGCACTCTCATAAGCCTCCCCCGACAAACCACGGGGGACAGTTAGAACCTCGAAGCTGAGATCTCGAGGAGTCCCCCGCAGACTCTCGCCACAGACGCGGATAAGGACTGTCCTGCTTGACCCACCAGGAGCAGGACCCTGCCGCTGAGGGTATGGGGACTTGGGGTCTGCACGGGCCGGAGAGGGCAGCCCCTCTGCCCGGCTATGGCTCTCTTCCAGGTTGGAGAACCACTTTCTTGCCCTGCCTGGGTGTGCGTCTCTGGGACGGGTCACGGGCCCTCTCCAGGGCTGAGTGTGCGCCCAGGCCGTGCTGTCGTCCGTCCCCAGTTGGCTCTGCTTACCTGTGGGGCCCAGGCCCACCTTGGCAGCCACCGTGCCACTGGGAGCCCTGAACCGGGGCCCAGAGCATGGGGGTGGGGGGCTGCGGGATGGATGAACAGGGCTCTCACTGTGTCAGCTTCAAGGGGCCCAGGCATCAAGAGGACTTTATGCAGTCAGTTTGGCAACATGCTCACAGGGAGAGGAGCGGCAGGAGTAAAAGCAGATGGCCCACACTAGGGCTGAGGAGCTGCTGCTGCGGGCAGGCACGCACGCGCGCACGCACGCGCACGCACGCGCGCACGCGCACGCGCACGCACACGCACAGCCAAAATGCTTGCTCCGAGACCCTGGCACCAGTCTGTCTGGGTCTGACGCCCCACATCTGTTCCTCACCAGTCAAATCACCCTGGGCCAAAGACTTAAGCTCCTTGGTGCCTCAGTTTCCTCGTCGGTAAATAGGGGGTTATCAAGAGTGACTGCCCCCTGGTGGTGGTGCAAAACTTAAATGTGACAAAGCGTGGGGCCCCCAGGCTGGCTCAGTCAGTAAGAGTCTGCAACTCTTGATCTCAGGGTCTCAAGTTCGAGCCCCACGTGATGTGTAGAGATGACTTAAACATTCAAAGTCAAGGACACATTTTCTTTTAATGGGACAAAGCAGGTAAAGCGCTGTGCACAGAAGCGGGCACATAATAGCAGCTCAGTAAACGTTGGTGCCTCTGCGCCGGACCCAGCCTGGTTGGGCTTTGCAGTCCGCTCGAGTCTCCATGGAGAAACCGGGTGGAGCTCTGATGGACCGAGCAGATAAGCACTGTCGGGAAAGCTGGGGCCTTCCTTCACAGATGAAACATGATCCTCTGAGGCCGAGGAGGAAGGGTGACGGTCCGAGAGGCAGCTAAAGCTCTGAGTGCCCACGACAAGCTCTCCTCGCAGGCACCTCACTGGGCACATAACGAGGCTGGACGCAGAGAGGTGGGAAGGCCCCGCGTCCCCTTAACGTGCTGCCCAAATGTGGACGCCCAGGCCTTCCCTTCCTGTCCCCACAGCTTTTAACTAAAGACCTAGCTGGGGACCGGGGCATAAAAACAGCGAAATCAGCCCAGAGTGAAACCAAAACTAGACACTCTGGCTCACATACCCTGGACGCCAAGACTCTGGTGACACACCCAAACTCCCCGGGTGCAGTCCCCGGGAGGGAGGCCCAGGGAGGGGGCTCCTGTTTCTGCATTTCTCCCAACGTCCCCATCCACGACCACAGTCCTGCCAGGGCCCCAAGGCAGCCAGCCAGGTCTTAGGTAATAGAACCCAACCTCCTGCCCAGAAGTCTGACCTTGACCTTCCAGTGAGGTTGTCAGGGGAGGGGGGTGGACAGGAGAGGAAAGGAGAAAGAAAAGACAGAGAGAGGGAAAGAAGCCGAGGGAGATAAGGGAGACAAAGGCCAAAGGGCCAGCCCAGAAACGCCCCATGGCCAGCTAGGCGTCCAGAGCACTGTGGCTTCGGGGCATTGGGGTTCCGCGCAAATTACAAATCCAACTTGCCAGGCTGCTGATCAGCCTCAGCTGGGTGTTAATGAGGCTCCCCATGACCGGAGGGGCTTCTCAAACGCTCCAAGTGGGCCAGAGTGCCCTGTGGGGACAGGGAGAAGCTAACAGTGACCCAGAGAATCAGGCTTGAAAATCTATGGAGAGCCACCGCCCTGAAGGCCACGCCAGACCGGTGGGGAGCTGGAGGGGGCGCTTCTCGAATTTGGACCTGCACAGCCGCCCTCAGACAGGGACATCCTCTCGGTACTAAGGCCCCTTCAGTGGCTGCGTCCACAAATCCACGAAGTACAGAACTAAAAGCAGACCAGGTGAGAGCCACCTCTGGAGAGCTGGTTCCGGAGGCGAATGTTGCTTCCATGCTATTTCATTTCTAACCATGTATGTGTACTACTTCGATAAAAATAATTTTTCTAAATAGTGGTGAGGGCTGGAAGCAGGCTTAACTCTAGACAAAGTTTGAGGTCGGCCTCGACCGGGGCCCCTTGCCATGTGCCTTGCAAAGGGAGAGCCCAGTCTTCAATCTCACCAGCTCCCAGCTGACCCCGTCTCCCTGAACCGGGGGGCCCCCAACACTCCAGGCTTGTCTGGGCCTCTCCTCCTGCCCAGAATAACACGAAAAGCCACTAAGTAGCTTTTTGCTCCTCTTCTGTTTTCTTTAGTGCTGCCTCAGGCCTCCCCTGGGGTGAGAGGGGCCCAGATGTGTGAGGCTCAGCGCTGGGTCATCAGGGAGACCAGAGATTCACCCTACCCACACTCGCCCCTCATGTGCCAGGTAGCAGGTGGAATGGGAGGGGTGTTGAGAAAGCCGGGGCCCTACCCAGCTGCTCCACTGAGTCACCCTGTCAGAGCACAGAGAGGAGTGAGGCCAAATGAGCCCTCTCCAGCCTCAACACACATCTGCACGCATACACACACACGCACACATGCACGTCACTTAACCTGTCTGAGGTCCAATGTCCTCATCTGTAAGAGAGGATAGCAACCCAATATGGGGCACTGGTAAGGATTAAATGAAATACAGTTGACCCTTGAACAACATGGGGGGTTGGGGCACCGAACCCTCTGCATAGTCAGAAATCTGAGTACAACTTTGGATCCCCCAAACCCTTAACCACTACTAGCCTGCTGCTGACCTTCTGGTCACTGATAACATCAACAGTCACTGAGCACATACTGTGTGTTATGTGTAGTATGTACTGTATTCTTACAATAAAGTATGCTAGAAGAAAGAAAAAGTTATTAAGAAAGTCATAAAAAAAAAAAGGGGGGGTACCTGGGTGGCTCAGTCGTTAAGCGTCTGCCTTCGGCTCAGGTCATGGTCCCAGGGTCCTGGGATCGAGCCTGCTTCTCCCTCTCCCTCTGCTGCTGCTTGTGCTCTTTCTCTTTCTCAAATAAACGAATTCTTAAAAAAAAAAAAAAGTCATAAAAAAGAGAAAAGACATTTATCGTACTATAAAAAACCCAGAGAGAAGCGGGCCTGCATAGTTCCAACCCGGGTGGTTCAAGGGTCGGCTGTAGGCACATGGCACCCTCGGGGCCTCAACACCTCAGTTAATGTCACTCTTGTTTTCCTCCTCCCACTTCTTTCTCTACACATTTGACGCCACATGTCCACACACCTTCATAAAAACGTGGCCCCCTGCCACATGCTCTCTCCTCCACAGCCACCTCAGCCCATCCCACCCCCATCCACACACACTCACACGCGCTCTTCCGGCCAGTGTTGCTTGTCCTCCTTCTGGGATAGTCTGACCCCAGCAGGGCTCAGGGAGAGAGGGGTGTCACCCTGTCACCGGCCTCATCCTCTCGACGGCCTCTGGGGAGAGAAGGCAATGGATGGAGCAGTTCCTCGGAGTGGGGGGCCTAGAAGAAACAGGTCACAGATCCCCAAGGAGCCACGAAGCCAGATGGGAAGCCAGGCCCTGATGGGCTGGGCTACCTCAGCTCACCAGAAAAGGCCTTCCTTCTGTGATCTGATAAGGCTGTGAATCGAGGGGCGCCTGGGTGGCTCAGTCATTAAGCGTCTGCCTTCGGCTCAGGTCATGATCCCAGGGTCCTGGGATGGAGCCCCGCATCGGGCTCCCCGCTCCGCAGGAAGCCTGCTTCTTCCTCTCCCACTCCCCCTGCTTGTGTTCCCTCTCTCACTGTGTGTCTCTCTCTCAAATAAATAAAATCTTTAAAAAAAAAAAAAAAAAAGGCTGTGAATCGAGAGGCTTCCTGAGTCCTGATGCATCTGTAGGATCCTGAGCAGGAGAGACACACTCTATCCCCTGAGCTCTGAGCAGCCTAGGAGCCTGCAGAGGTGCCTGGGGCCCACCGCGGAGAGGAAGCGGGGAGGAGGGGAGCCCTCACCCCTCCGCCACCAGCCCCCTTCACTCCCTCACACAACACGGATTCCCTCCTAAGGCACCAAGCTTTTCCCTGCCCAGGGTTAGGGAAGCTCCTGGCCTCCTCCTCACCTGGCTGATGCCTGTTTATCCTCCAGGTTAGCCTAGCCAATCTCCCTCCGAGAGGACTTTCTGGTCCCCAGTGGACATTTACAGGCTCTCTGTGCCCCCCCTTATTCTAACAGCCCCCTTCCCTTCACACACATCACCCATATCACAGTTGGTAATTATGGAATCATTTGTGCCCTTCTCTGTTCAATCACAGCCTCTCCTACTAGACTCTCAATTCCCTGAGGGCGGCAACCATAGCTTTTTTTTGTTTGTTTTAACCATTGGATACCAGCACCGAGGCCCCCAGTGATGGGCCAAACTCTTGATTTTCTCCCCAATTTTATCCTTCTCCAGAGTCTTCTCCAGAATGGCGACTCCATTCTTCTCACAGCTGAAGCCAAACACCTAGGGGGCCAATCCTTTTGGGTTTCGGGTGTACAACACAGTGATTTGACAGTTTTATACATTACATAGTACTAGGGGTCATTCTTGACAAGTGTTTCTCACACCCCACTTTAGTGTGTCAGGGAATCCTGCTGGACTCGCTTTCTGCCCACACCCAGGATCCAACCTCTTTCCGCCTCCTTCACCACCCCCTCTGTCCAAGGTGCCGTGGCACTTCCACTGGACGGGCCTCCTAACTGGTCTCCTGCGCCCCACACCTGTCATCCTCCACGCGCCAGACAGACGGGAGATTTAAAAGTCTAATTCAGGTAACACCTCTTTTCAAACCCTGTAGGCTTCTCCTCACATTCAGAATAAAATTCAACGTCCTGCCCAGGGTCTTCAGTACCGTGGGTGATGGGGACATGAGGTCAAAGGGCACTGTGACCACACCTCTCGCTCTGCTCCAGCCGCCTGGTCCCCAACTCTTCCTTGAGTGAGCACCGTGAGTGCCCACCCACCTTGCTGCCGCTGTGGTCTGCGTGGAATGCCCTGTCCCCCCAGACCCATGTGACCTGCTTCCTTCCTAACTCCGCTCGAAGATCACCTCGTCAGAGGGGTCTTCCTCCTTACACTTTATTTCCTTAAGCAGCTTAATTTGGCTTCATGATCTTATCCCCACCTACTAGATTATATGTATTTGTTTATTTACATATTATCTGTCTCCCTCTGCTATAAGGTTAGTGTCATGAAACCACAGACTTTCTTTTGGTTTATCGCTGTATCTTCAGTGCCAGAAACAGTATCTGGCATATAGTAGATGCTCCATAAATGTTGCTTAAATGAATGACTAAGACTTCCATAACACTTTGTTGAACAAATTAAATAAATGTGTCTTCTATTTGTTGGGCACTAGAACAGGCTGGAAATCATAGAAATAAAGAAGAGAATTCCCTCCTCGGGGACGTTATAGGCTAATGGAAGAATCAGACACGTAAATAGTGAACTCTAAGAGAGGACAGAACTGAAAAAAAAAAAAAATGAAATTCAACTGACTCCATTTGAGGATCTAATTGGCTTTACTCACTGATTCATGAGTCAGGCCGCATCCCATCTAGCAAGTAGAACGGGGCTCCTTGAAGCTGTACTAAACTGAAGGCTTTTATAGGCAGAAGGGGGTGGGAAAAGGAAGTTTCTAGCAAAGAGTGGATTGGTTCAGGCAAGATCTCCTTCCTTTGGGAAAAGGCTTGGGTCTATCGGGCAGATTACCTCACTAGTGCTGACAAGGTAATTCCAGACTGACTGGTTAAAGGTCAGATTTCTGGGAGGGCTAAGACTAAAATTAGGCTAGGTATTAAGTCTTGGTTTGCTGATGTGGGGCTTAGCACAAGTGACTCCATTTTGCATCTGTTGTTTCTTTTTCAACAGTACCAATAAGAAAAACAGCAACAAGCCTAGGGGAGGAGCCTAGCTAACATTTACTGAGTACTTGTGTGTGCCAGGCTGGGGTGTTCTCTGACACCAATCAATTCTCCACTGAGTATCCTACAGTGCAGTTCCACTCAGAGATAGTGCAAGGGCGCCTGGGTGGCTCAGTTGGTTAAGCGACTGCCTTCGGCTCAGGTCATGATCCTGGAGTCCCGGGATCGAGTCCCGCATCGGGCTCCCTGCTCGGCAGGGAGTCTGCTTCTCCCTCTGACCCTCCTCCCTCTCATGCTCTCTGTCTCTCATTCTCTCTGTCTCAAATAAATAAATTCTTTAAAAAAAAAAAACAAGAGATAGTGCAAACCCCACAGGTTAAGGGCTCAGTCCCCCCACTTCAGATGCGAGTTGGGAGTCTTGGGCCACCCATACTTCTGACTGACTGGCTGTCAATCCGAGCCTCCCATGATCCCTTCTTCGGTTTTGGTAACTTGACAGTATGGCTCACAGGACCCAGGAAAACACTTACTTACACTAGCGGGTTTATTTTTAAGGATTCAACTCAGGAACAGCCAAATGGAAGAGATGCCTAGGACAAGGTATGGGGAGAGGAGACGGAGCTCCCATGCCCTCTGCAGGTGTGTGGCCCTCCGAGCACCTTGATGTGCTCACCAACCAGGAAGCACTCTGAATCTCACTGTTGGAGTTTTTATAGACCTCAATCTCCTGTGCCCCCATCCCTTTCCCAGAGGCAGAGGCCAGTGGCAACGAAAGTTCCAACCCCCACTAATCACTAGGTCTTTCTGGTGACCAGCCCCATCCTGAGGCTACCTAAGAGTCCCACCCTCAATCATTAGCATAAACTCAGGTGTGATCAAAGAAGCTCCTTATGATTAACAAAAGACACTCCAGTCACTCAGGAAATGCCAAGGGTTTGAGGAGCTCCAGGTCAGGAACCAGGACGAACCACACAGGCATCATTTATATACAACTCACACATCAGTACAATTCTCGGAAGTAAATGTTATTTTTTATCCCCCATTTCACAGGTGAGAAAACTGAGACTTTGGTAAATTAAGTGATTTGCCCAAAGTCACAAAATCCGTAAGCTAGAGAGCCAGGATTTGGATCCAGCTGCAGAGTCCATGCCCTTAGTCACTAAACTTAAAGTGCAGGAGGTAGTCCAACATCTGAGGGAATGTGAGTAGATTTCACTTTAAGGGTGAGTCCAATTTATTTATTTATTTATTTAAAGATTTTATTTATTTATTTGAGAGAGAGAGAGAGAGCATGAGAGGGGGGAGGGTGAGAGGGAGAAGCAGACTCCCTGCTGAGCAGGGAGCCCGACGCGGGACTCAATCCTGGGACTGCAGGATCATGACCTGAGCTGAAGGCAGTCGCTTAACCAACTGAGCCAGCCAGGTGCCCAAGGGTGAGTCCAATTTAATAGACACAGAGATCATGACCACTTCCTGTGGGAGTGCCTAAATTATACCCAGGTACCTAACATGTGGTAAAATCTGATCACCAAAGAGAAGCCCTTGCAGGCCCAAATATTTACCTGGGTAGCTTCTCACAATTCTTTTTTTTTTTTTTTTTTTTTTTTTAGGATTTCATTTATCTGAGATATAGAGCAAGAGAGAGTGTGTACAAGCAGGGGGAGGGGCAGAGGGAGAGGGAGAAGCAGGATCCCTGCTGAGCAGGGAGCCCCATATGGGGCTCGATCCCAGGACCCTGGGATCATGACCTGAGCCGAAGGCGGATCCTTAACCGACTGAGCCACCCAGGCGCCCCAGCTTCTCACAATTCTTCTTCATTCCTTCTGGTTGAGGCACGAGCATTTCTCCCTCATGAATACCCAGTGTGAATGTTCCAACAGGACAGGCAGCTCAGCATTGACAGGACAGGGAAGAGGACAGAGAAGCTCCCAGGACTGCCCAGCACAGCCATTCTGGGAGGCAGGTAGGGGAATGGGGCTGAGGGGTGGGGGTGGGTGTCACAGGCTCTGTGCCTCCACAGTGTCTGTCTAAGCTAATGGAGCCCTAGAGAAATGTCATATTTGCTTTACCAACCCAATTATGGGCCATTATCTCCTCTATTGTAGTCCTGGGTCTGTATTAGGATCCTACTTCTGAAAGGCCACAAGGGAGTTAGAAAACCTAAGAATTCATGGGGCGCCTGGGTGGCTCAGTCGATTAAGCATCTGCCTTCAGCTCAGGTCATGATCCCGGGGTCCTGGGATCGAGCCCCACATCGGGCTCCCTGCCCAGCAGGGAGTCTGCGTCTCCTTCCGCTGCCTCTCCCCTTGCTCATGCTCTCTCTTGCTCACTCTCTATCTCAAATAAATAAATAAAAACTTAAAAAAAAAGAAAACCTAAGATTTCAAAGGTGAACATCCAGGATGGGGCCCCCTGACAGCTGGGGGGAGAGAGTAGCACATGCGGCTGGGACTCCTGCCGGCTCAGAGTCTTTAGTCACCCCTTCCTTTCTTCTAGCTGAGCAGCAAGGCTACTTTGGAAAGTTCCTTCCGTCCTCGATTCTATTAGACTAGGGGAGGGGGGCCTGGCTCTGCTACCAGCTATAGTTTGGAGGTGGACATCTCTAGAGGTTCTGCTCAGAAAGGGCCAGGGAATCAAAATGAGAAAACCTCAAGGAGAAGTAAACTTTGGGGGGAATTGTTGAGAGCCCCTTCTCCTCCCTACAAATTACAGAGCACGGTGGTTAAAAATTTGGACTCTGGAGCCCAGAGTGACTGGGTTCAAATCCTGGTTCTATTACTTACCAGCTTGTGTCCTTGGACTACTAAGGTGCCTCTTCAAGCCTCAGTTCCCAGTCTGCTAAAACAGTCATCCTCATCCTGTTGGGAGGACTCAATGAGCGAATTCTTATAAAATGTAGTCAACAAATGTCTGGCACATGATAAGCACTCAGTAGATGTTAGCTCTCGTGGTCTGCTCTGAGCTCGGAGGGAGGGGACACTGACCATTACCCCCACCTTCCACCCTCAGCCGCTCCTAGTGGAGGGGCTAGTCTACCAGGTGGTAAGAGGCCCCAGTTCCTGCTTGACAAGGAGGACTGGATCAGCATTGAAGCTGAGGACAGAGAGAGGTTGGCTAGCAGCTAGAACCCAGCAAAGGCAAACTTCTTTTGAGAGAGGCAGAGCGGACGTGAGCCCCAGATACTTAAGGGAATAATGATGGTTTAGTAGAGTCAGGTGGCTTACACTTCTGCCCTAAACTGGACTAAAACTTTTGGTAAGCTCCCTCTCTCTTGCTTCAATAGGATCAATTCAGCCTCCTCTCTATTATCATGGTACCTTATCCTTAGTCTGTTAAAAAGCTTATCACACTATCAGGGTGTATGTATTTAATTGGCCAAACTCCGTAGCCAGATTTCTTGAGATTGGGACTAAATTTGAGTTCTCCTTCCGACTCAAACAAACCTCAAAACAAAAAAGATGTTCATGTGGGCCACTCATCCATCCCACCCTGCTCCTCTGAGGACAGATAAGCCAGCTTCCTGTAGGAAAAGCTTTGAGGGGCTCAGAGGAAAGAGCACTTGAAAAGCAACCCGAGGGTAAATCCCCACCCCTGGCTCTTTAACTGCTCATGATTCAGTTTCCTCATCCACACTTGTAAGATGGGAAAGTAACTTCTGCCCCATTCACCTCTCTGGGAGGGAGGGTAGAGAAGCCAAACATAATGACATACAGGACAGGACAGCGTTTCATTCTTTTTTTTTTTCTTTTTTTAAGATTTTTACTTATTTGGCAAAAAGAATTAACAAATAAAAAACCTGTGTGACCTGGACCAGAGGCCTCTCCTCCTCCTCTCGAAGTTTCCCCTGCCCGGGAGCAGGAGAGTTGACTGGCAGACCCTGCCTGTGGCCAAGGCTCCATCTCGACCCTGCCAAAGGAATGCAGTCTCAGCCTGCCCGCCGCGTGCAGAGGGCTCCTGCTGGGGAGTCCACTCCCCTTCTCTCTTACTCCATTTGCAATCACTATTTATTTATCTTTGGAAGTTGAAGGCACCAGAGCCTGCAGCCGGGAGAGACTGGTGGAGCCAGAGAGGGAAAGTGAAGAAGCCAGTGTCTGGGCCCAGGGTCTGCCTCTGAAGGGCCAGGGAGGGAAGGCGCTTCCCTGCAGAGGGGGGTGGGAGACTGGACGGAAAGGCCACGGGGCTGGAAAAGGTGCCACACACACCAGCAGGGCCAAACCACAGAAAGGAGGTGGCGGCGACCTTCTTTGCCGATACAGTGAAAAATGAGGAATAGGAGTTCTGACCAGGGATCCCCCAACCCAGGCAGCCTGCCCCTCAGCAGCGAAGGGTCTATTAAGTGTCAGAAAAGGCAGCGTTTGTGGGGAAACTGAGGGAGCAGACACACTAGGCCACACTTCCTTTTCCGTCTGTCCCCAGCCCCATTCCCAGCTTGCATCACAGTCCATCTAGGATTCTCAGGCAACTTTCACTCCCATCCCCCTTTGTCAAGGTCAGACACCACCCAAAGCCACCAGCCCTGTGTCTCTGGAAACTGAGTGCCCCCTCTCTTGAACTCGCTCATTCAAATGCCACAACTGACCTTCACCAACTAGGAACCACGAAGAGCCCCATGCTGACCCCAGAGATTAGATACTCCAGGACGTTAGAGGCCGTATCCAAAGTCAAATAGAGCCATCTAGAATGAAGCTCTCCTGACTGGCTCACAGTGCTGTGCTCTTTCCACACCCGGCCCAGATCCCTGCTTTTCTTCCCATTTCTCTCATTCCTACTGCCCCCGGAACACACACACACACACACACACACACACACACACACACACTGGGATATGGAAAAGGTAGGAGGCCAGATCTAGCCTGTTGCCTTGGCCTTTGACCCCTCCGTGGCCGAGTGACATGCACCCCCCGCTGGGTGAGGTCACTGGCAGCAGAGGAGGGTCTGAGCCTTCCTAAGTCTCTGGTTTGTATCCTGCAGTGGCTGGAGCAGGGCTGCGGGAGGGAGAGCCGGCTTCCAGACTGGCCCATCAGGTCAGGGGCCAAGGGAAGCCGAGTGTCAGCAACGCCAGGGCGGTGAACAAAGTTCAATCTCAACCCCAAACAAGGAGCACCAACCATCTTTGGCCGAACCCGCAGGTCAATGAAAGACCCAGAACAAGGGGGTGCGGGCTGGATGAGCAGGAGCGAGGGAGGGTTTTGTGGAAAGTGATGGTGGTTGGCTTTGAGGGCTGGGATGGGTTGTGGAGAGGAAGAGTCCTGGCCCCGGGGGGAGGGGGGCGGGAGGGAGAAGGAGTCCCGGCCCAGGGCGGGTTCGGGGACACGCGCGGCCTCCAGCAGCCTGGCCCGCTCTCGCTCCAAGGAGGGCAGCGGCCGGGCTGCGTAGCGGGAGGCGCTAGGGCCTCGCGGACGGGCGAGCTGGCGAGGGGAGGGCGCCCTCTCGGGAGGGCGGGCGGGGGCTGGCGGCGGCGGGAGCGGCGCCGCGCCGAGCTGCCTCCATCCATGGCACGGCGCGGCGGCGGCGGCGGCGGCAGCAGGAGGAGCCCGGCGCGATCCGCTAGGTCCCAGCCCAGCGCGGAGCGAGCAGGCGACGCGGAGGGGCCCGGCCTCAGGCGGCCCGGGAGCACGGCGCGGAGAGTCGGGCCGCGCCGCCGGGGGCCGCCCGCGCCGCGCTGACAGCCGCGCCCGCGTCCTCCCCGCCGGGGCGCTCGCCGGACATGCCCCCGGGGCGCGGCGGCGGGGACCCCGGGGCTTGCCTCCGCCCAGGGCCCCCCGCCCCGCCCTCGGACGCCCCGGGCCCCCGCTGAGCACGCCTCCCGCAAGCCCAGGTCCCTCTGGCCGGCGCGCAGACGGGCCCCAGCGCTGTGGGTGCCCGCGGGGCGATGGGCTGATGGGCGCCGCGGGACGCAGGATGCGGGGGGCGCCAGCGCGCCTGCTGCTGCCGCTGCTGCCGTGGCTACTGCTCCTGGCGCCCGAGACCCGGGGCGCGCCCGGCTGCCCCGTCCCCATTCGCAGCTGCAAATGCTCGGGGGAGCGGCCCAAGGGGCTGAGCGGCGGCGCCCCCAACCCGGCGCGCAGGAGAGTGGTGTGCGGCGGCGGGGACCTCCCGGAGCCTCCCGAGCCCGGCCTTCTGCCTAACGGCACCGTGACCCTGTGAGTACCCTAGTCGGCCCGGCCCGGCGCGAGCCCCGACGAGGGGGCGAACGGAGACAGGACGGGAGGGGCGGGAGGAGGGGGACGGGGACGTTGCCGCCACTTCAGAGACTCTGGGACACGCCTGAGTCCGGGCGCCGAGCAGGGAGGCTTGGAGAAGTACGGGGAGGATTAGGGCTCCAGGGGTGTGGAGGGAGGAGGGGACTTGGGGGGGCGGCTGCGCCCGAGGGAGGGGCACCGCGGGCGCCCACTCACCTGCACAGGTGAAGGGAATGCGCGCTGGCGGGGCGCCCACGCCCCTTGACTTTCCAGCCTGGGCTGGTGTTGCAGACTTCGGGGACGTGAGGTGGGTGGGCTGGGGGGAGGCTCGGGAAAGATCGGCGCCCGCGGCCTCAAAGGTGGCTGAGGTCGTTACCCCCGCGGACGCGTCCTTGGCCGGACTGGAGGAGTCTTCCAGGTTCACCCCGCGGGCCTGGCTCCTCCAGTGGGGGGCGCCCCATCTGCGCCCCCCCCCCCCCCGCCCCGCCCAGCCTGCCAGCCCAGCTTCCAGCGCGTCTCCATAGGGCAGGCGGAGGGGGGAGGATGTCGGAAAATCTGTCCTTGGGATTGCGGCGCTTCTGGCCTGAAGGAGACCCGGTGTCCGGGTTCGTCTCGGGCCCCTCTCCCTCCGCGCGTCTGCGAAGTGAGCCTTGCGCCGGGTCCTGCACCCCGCCCTCTTCTTTGCCTCCCCTGGGTATAACCCGAGCTTTGGCTGTTAATCGATTGACTCCTTCGCTCCAAGACTGCGAAGAAAGAAACCCGGCTGAGGGGGAGGCGGCTGCCTCCCAGCCTCCTTCCGTCCTCCCGTTTCCTTTCTCAGCCAGGGCCCTACCGAGCCCTCACTCTGCCGCCTGCGAGCGCGGCCCGTGGCGGCCGCGCACCGACCCCAAGCCTCCTCAATGGAGGTCCGAAGCCCCCCCACCGCCGCAGGAGAATTCGCGACCCCCGCCCGCCGCGGCGGTTTCCTGCTCGGACCACGTGCTCCCAGCTCCACGCACGCCGTGGAGTGGAGGGTCCGGCCCGAGCGGCGACCCGTGCCTTTCCTGTCCCGGATCCAACCTGCGAGCGCTTGCCCTTTCCTGTCTTCCTGACCCCGGTGGCGACCGTTTCCCCACCGCCCCTTGCCCAGACTTGGGGCTGGCGCACAGTCTATCCTGATTGTGTCCAGAACAATACAGTAGTGCCTTTGGTCGGGTGAGTTCAGAGGCTGCCGGCTTCCTGACAGGACACGACTGGTCAGCCTCTGACGTTGGCCGCCCGGCCTGCATTTTCCCCAGCTGGGGTGTGTGTGTGCGTGTGTGTGTGTGTGCTCGAGTGTATGTGTGTGCATGGCGGGGGGAGGGTGGAAGCAGTGTGTCTGCTCTCTCCCACGTCTCAGCAGCAGCTCCGGGATCTGGCCGTGGCCTGGGAAGGCGGCTGGGGCTGCTCATTCCTGGCCTCTTTGACTGTCCACGGGTGTTGAAGGGTCCAGACAGGCCCGGGCATTCCCCAGCCCACTCAGATCTGGAGGAGAAGTATGCTTGCCGTGTGGAATGGCTGGGCCCGTGTCTGGGGGAGCCCCCGCTGGGCAATGGTAACTCAGGTCAGGAGAGCGGGGGTGTGTGTGTGTGTGTTGTGTGTGTCTATTCGATCTTGTGGCTGTACTCACACACATATGTGGGACACCGTCTCTCTGTGTGTCTGCTTGTTGGGATTAAGGAATCCACACATACTGAAGGCAGAAAAGAGGGGGAAAACATTAAAAGGTGGTTTTGCAGTACATCTTAGAATGATTTGGTAACTAACGCTTTCCAGCCATAGCTAATTCCCATCGACGCCACTCCAAGGAGCGAGCGCAGCTGACTCTTGGTGAGAATATATGGTGACAGGGTGGCAGCAAACGTGACTGCTAGCTCACCTTCCCATCCCAAACCATTCCCAGACGAAGGGCTCCTTCTTTGTCCCAGGCCACTGACCTAGCTGGCTTAAGATACCTTCCAGAGGAACAGCCCCGGACCTGGGTGGGCATCCCCACAGTGATGACAGGGCAGGCCCTAGAAGCTCCAGAGAGCCCACTGGCCCCTCAGCCTGGAGTGTGGCTGAATCCCAGCCACAGACCTATTTCTTAGGCTCTCCCTCCAGACTCCACCTAATCCTGACCCTGATTGCTGGGCAGTGGCTCTCTTCCCAGGGCTCAGCCCCTCCAGCGTACCCATCCCTGCCCAGCATGCCTCTTGAGGGAAGAAGGAAGAGAAGTGCCGGGAAGGGGCTTCAGCCTGGCAGCAAAACAGGAGGCCAGGAGCTCAAGAACCTTCTCCACACCCTCCCAGACTCCTCCTCCTTACTCTTTTTGTTTCCACACAGATTTCCCCCGCCATCTTTTTGCCTGTCACCTGGTGCAAACAACAGGACTTTCGTGGATCGATTTTGCACCTGTGGCTTTATCTCCCTCCTCCTCCCCTTTTTCCTCCAGAACGGCCACCTTATCTCCCTCCCCCCTCCCCTCTTTTCCTCCAGAATGGGCCACCCGGCCCCAGTCCCCTTCACACCCCACCCTGCTCACTTGGGTCCTCGGGGGACCCAGGACTCCACCTTGGGAAGCCTGGTAGCCACCAGTGCTGGGACTCTTCAGGTGAAGAAAGTGCTAGAAAAGATGCCTGTCTGCAAGGAGCCTCCGGTCTCTGCTCAAAGAAAGCCTCCAGGCAGTTCTGAGGCAATTCTGTGACTAGTCCTGTTTACTTCACTGAAAACCCTTCCACCCTATTATCCTAACTTCTGCGTTCTGTTTTTGTAGACTCTGTGCCCCCTCTCCCCCACCCTTTACCGTTTCCCCTTCTAATGGATTTTCATTTGCAGTTTTCCAGGAAAGTAGAACTCTTGGCTTCCTTCCTGATCCATCTGTCCCACCCCTCAGCTCAGTCCACAGGGCAGCTGTGGACACCCGACGCCGATGCTCCTATCTAGAGCAGGAGGCTTTATGGCTCTCCCCCAAGGCGAAAGGTCTCATGGGGGGTGGTGAGTTTCAGGGAGAGCCCGGCTATGGGAGGGAGGTGGAGACCCCTGTGAATCCCCCACCCATCCCTGGGCAGCAGCTGATGGGCCTGTCCTGCTTCTCCGCTCTGGGAGTGAGAGTAAGGGGGTAGGGGGGATAATAAAGAATTCTAGGAAAGGACTGATAATAGATAACTCCAGAAGGAAATCGCCTACAAGGACCTTCTGGGATATCTGAGCAGCCCCTCAGAGGATTCTAGCCAGTGTCATAAATTCCTAGACCGTCTGCACTGAAAAGGCCCTTATAGATCAGCAAATCCAGCCCCTGCATCTTCATCTTAGAGCTGAGCAAACTGAGGCCAGGAAGGGGGGGGGACCAGTGTCCCTACAGTCAGTCACACACTAGCAGACACGAGGATCAGCTGGTTGGGTTCTCTTAAACTTCTCTCGGGTGACAGACTCGCTATTCACCTGGCTGGACTTGGGACCCAATGGACACAAAGCCGCTTTTAAAAACCCAGTTCCTTCCCAGGAGAACCTAGGCCCTTTTGACCTGGGAACATTCCAAGGCTGGGTGAGGAGGGGGCAGGCAAGGTACAGGTCACTCTGGATTCTCCCAGAACCCACAAACCCTTGTCTACTTCGCCTCCCCTTTCTGGGGCAAGGGGTTGTCTACCGCATCAGCAGCCCACATAGGGGAAAAGGGGCATTTGCCATTCGGATGCCCCTACCGGTGGCCACATCCTTTTGCTGGGGGTTTGGTGGTCTTTAAAGGTAGCATGGGGGAAGGGGAGGCCCCTTCACAGCCTTGTGTTTGCTCCAGCCTCAGGAAAGTGGTTCTGGAACACAGATCTCCCTCTGAACCTCCAGCTCTGGACTGGTCCCTCCCCTCAGTGCCCCTCACCCGGGCTGCCAGGATCCAGTTAGGGGAGTTTGGGGCAAAGTGTGCCAACTGCCTTGCACATAGCCTGAGGGGAGTGGAAAGATGCTGGCTGGAGGGGCGGGTCCTTGCCATCTTCCCCACCCCCTTCTCTTCCACCCTCTTTCCCCCATATGGTTCTCATAAGGTCTGGGCTCAGAGACAGCAGTCAGAGGAAGTGGCTGTGTACAGAGAGCTTTTGTGAGGGAAGGAGGGGGAGGGGCAGAGAGCAGGGAGAGAGAAGGAAAGAAAAGAGGGAAGAGGCTGGGGACAGAAGGTGGGAGCAAGCTGGGAGACTCCAGCACACTACCTTACCGTCCCAATGCAGGGTCTCAGCTGCAGCATGCCCAGTGTGGGCTCTTGACCCCGCCTGCCTGAAACGAGGGGCCCCCAAAAAATCCAGGTTCCCCTCTAACTTCGCAACTACCTGCAGGAGAAGCTGGAGGAGCCCCTTCCTGGAGTTCTTGGGGACTCTTTGGGCTCCCTCAAGTGCAGGATGTCAGGGTCCATGGTCCCATCTCAGGGCAAGCACTGGACAGGGAACAGAGCCCTCTGGTTGAGTCCTCACTGCGCCAAAGAGACTAGAGAGGCCACCACACTGAACTCCAAAGACAACCCCTATAATTCATCATCCCAGTGGTTCCAGGACCCAGAATGGGTAATTTGGCCTGAATTATTCAGAACATGTGCATGAACCCAGCCACTCCTGATCCCCAAGATGGTCCCTTCCCACCAACTACCATGGATCACCCTTCCGTGATGGGGGCGGGAGTGGTGGGCAATCCCTTGCCCTGGGGGTATGAGTCTGAGAATCTCCCCCAAAGGCACAGGCAAACCAGCATAATTTGAACCTGACCATAAATTGACCCTTAAATTGGGGGTCATGTTTTTAAAGGGAGAGAGTTTCCAAGTTTATGCCACAGGAGAATCATTGGGGTAAGAACACTTTCCTGAAGGAGAAAAAGTTCCAACCACCTCTGAGTTGATCCATATCCATCCATTCAGTGGGCTCTCCTCACCAAAGCCCAGAGAGGGGAGGGTAGGTCCCCAGCGCCTCACAGCCTGGACCAGCACTCCTCACTCCCTCATGATCCTGAGATAGAGAACCCCCCCACTCCCTGGGACCTGACGGGGAGCAGGGGAGAAGAGAGGAGGGAAATGGCCCTGGGCTGAGGAACTAGAAGGAAAGTCGGTAACTGCTCGGAAGGGGCTGCTTGGAGGGGCTGTTTATTTTCATTCCCCCAGCCCAGGCTCTCTGTTCTATTTAGAGCTCAGACACTGACAGGACAAAGCTGCCTCCTCCCCTTCCTCCCTCCTCTGGCGGGCCCCCATCCTTCCCAAACTCCAGAACATTCCTTTGCTTTTTGGACTGGGTAATGGGGGTGGGGGAGCAGAGAAACTGTGGAGTGTAGCTAACTCCAGCAACCTCCCAGGACCCAGCTTCCCTAGCCCTGGGAGAGAAGAGAGGCCGGATGGGGGAGCAAAGGGGTGTGTAAGATGGATGGAGCCAGGTGAGGGCAGGGAACGGGGGCGGAGAGAGGCCTGAGGAGGGAGTTCCAGCCCGAACTTGAGGGGCCAGACATCTCCCAGCTGGAAAGGGAAGGGAAAGTCTGGAAGACGCTCCCCCACTCCCACCCACCCACCTAGGGCTCTTTGCCTGCTGGGAACTGTGTGTTGAGGCAGACGCTTTAGACTTCAGGCTCCAGGAGACCCAGTACCCAGGATGAGAAAAGCCATCAAATATAAGAAGTGGGAGTCTTCAGTCCAGACCCTTCTTTTACTGAGAAGAAACCTCCAGAGAGGGGCTGACCTGCCCAAGATCACACAGCAACTAGCCAGACCCCAGGGCTCCTGGTCCTGGGTCAGCCTCTTTCCATGGGGGCTTCATCCTTGGGGACAGAGCAGGGGAGATAGACATGAGCCAGGGAAAAGGGGCAGATAACCTAATAAACACTCATGTACTTAGGGGACCTCTGTACAAAATCTCTGCACAGAGTACTGGAAATCAGATGGACCCAGGGCAAGTGGTCTCTAAAGCATCCTTCCTAGTGTTTCTCTCCCTCTCTCGCACCATGCACAGCTTCGGGACTACACACCCAGGTGGCAGGTGAAGTCTCAGGAGGGCTGTACTGTGGAGCCGAGGGATGGTGCTGTCTCCAAGCTGTCAGGACTGAGCTCTGCTAAGACTGACTGGGTGGGGGGCAGAAGAGAGGGAGCGAGTGGAGGTAGGAGGAAACTGCTCCATGACTTGAGAAAACGAGGGTTCAGCATGAACCCTGTCCGTCG